GATTTTGGTCATCCTCGAGACTAAAGACATTATGTCACGGGGTCATTCCAATCTCCCTCGATCTTAGACAGTCCTTGTTACTTTTGTTTTATAAATACCCCTTTCGTTTTTTTTTTTTTTTTTTTTTTGGCAGAATTCTCAAACCGTCTTTCTTCAGGTTGACGATATTTAAGATCAGCAAAAATGTCGAACGAAACTTAAGTCCTCACTTTGTCTGGGAATGGTCGTAGAAGCCGAGGTAGGTCATTTTGAGGGTTCTTCGTCAGTCTACAAGCAATCATTTCACGCCATTTCGTAAACGCAAGTTGAATGCTTCCTAACCCAGTTCTTTTTTCGCAAGATAACAACAACGTGTATTGACAAGCTGAGAGCTACTTTACCATGAAACTACGAGAAAAGTTTCAGTTCTTCCGTGTTTCGTTATACTCAAATATTCGCCATACAAAATACATTAAATTCTAGCGTTTTATGACCACAGACTACGCAAAAACGTCAGCACTAAGTTCAGGAAAAAAACGTGCAATCAGCTTGTGTTTTATGCGTGAGTTTCAGCAGAAAAAAGGTGTGTTAAATGCGCTCTAATAAATGGTATTTTTCTATAATGAGAGGGGGGTGATTATTCGAGAAAATACGGAGTTTTACCAACAGTTTTCCTATGCATCTTCTTCAAAATGTTGGTTGACATGTGCTTCGAATTCCTTTTGGCCGTAGCTATCTGGAAAGAACCGCTCACACACGGGACAAAGTTTTCCTCGCGAAGAAGTAGCGCCAATAAAATCTTCTTCCTCTTCGATAACTTCAATGTCGCTCTCCCCAGTCCACGTGTTCTCGGATAGAAGTGTTGTCATGGAAACCGCTCTTCCCTCGGGCGCTCTTGATGAAGCTGCTGAGAGCGGAGCAGTATTTCTCTCTCCGGTTACCCTCTTAGTAACGATTGCAGCTCCGCCGGTTTCGTCACTTCTCTTTGCTCTGTACAAATTCGATTCCTGAACGGGGATACTCAAGGGCGCGTCATCCCCCATTACCCGCTCGAAACTCCCCTCTCCCTGGGGTAACGAAGTCGCTCCTTCTTCCGGCCACTTCGAGCCTCTTCCCTCGGTATAGACAGGAACATTTTGAGTGACTTTCGGAGCGCTGACCAAATGCTCAAAATCCTGAATGGTTTTCTCTGTGATTTCCATCAAAGTACGCAAACTGCTGTTCTGCTTGTCCAAGTGCTCTTTCACTTGTCTCACCTCAGCTTTTTGTTCTTGAGCCGTAGACAAAATGGTGTCCACTTTCTTGTGAAAAACAGCGCTTTCCGGCGCAGTAGCTCTTTTCACGGGAGCTTCATGTTTTAAAGTCGGTAATCCTACAATGAAAAAAGGAAGTATTAAATAGACCTACAT